CTCTTAAAAGGCCACGTCTTCAACGACGTGTCGCCGACACTCCATCAATGGAAAGTCGTGTCCGGCATACAGATCGGCGTCTACTCATCAGCGAAGACCTGCGCCCAGAATCTGCTGTTCTGTAACACAAACCACGGAAACCTCACGCCATTGATTGACCAGTACTTCGATAACATTGTCGGCGTTAAAGAAGATCCCAAGAGCTATGAGACGATCTGCAGACGGATTAGCGCCGACCCCAAGAGTGTGCTCTACATCACAGACAAGGCCTCCGAGGCTAACTGCGCGAAGACGGCCGGCCTGACAGCTGTGATGATTAAACGACCCAATAATAGGCCGCAATCGGCCATCGAGGGCGTGCAGACCATCTCGTCGTTCAAAGACATTAAATTCAATTAAATGATTGTATTTTTATTTCTCATTGAAATTCTTGGGTTTCATATGTTTTTCTGTTACTTTCAAAGAACCCATTAATAAAATATAGTTTCCATTAGTTTTTTGTACTATTTTTTTGATTGATTTAATAAAATAGAAATCAAAAGTATGAGAAATGTTTTCACAAACAGATTATAGGAATTTCTTATATAAATTAAAAAACTATTATTATAACTAATAATAAATACTAATTTATTTGAGATATCCTTAATTAGTCATATTAGAGATAATTATGAGAAATCCTAAAAAATGTTTTGTTATCTGAAGTACAGAATCTGTACTATAGGTACTGGACCACTGGTGCTGTACTGAGCTATTGAGTCATAGAATTGTCTTATTTGTTACTGATTTTGATCTAGCAAAAATTAAATCCTTTTCAATAATATCGCAATAAATCATATAATATTAGTCATTCATTCATTGACTCACACAATAAGTCATCAAAAAAGTTACGGTTATCTCAAAAACTATTGCTATCTAACATTTACAGTACATAACAATTAATCAATAATTAGTGGACACGCTCTCGCAATCAATTAAAACATAATCTCAAATAAAATTAACTGACCATTAAATTTGAAAAATACAATTAAATACAGACATGACTTGTGGCACAATGTTAAGACACCTGTTATTAACCACCGCTTTGTATGCAATACTAATCCAAAACCTCGACAGCAAAAGACCCGTTGACTTCGGTGTCTGCTCTTACATGCATCCCATCACCGGTTATAATAAGATCTATTGTCTGGAGGAGGACCGGCACTACTGCTGCTACTCCGGTGTCAATAAAACCAGTG